ACTGGGCTGTAGAGGGACCCCTCGGGTGCAGAATTTGAGGCCGGGGACACCGTATTTCTGCTTCGCCTGGAAGACACCCGCAAGCTGAGGGGCCCTGCTTTGCAGCGTCTGCCGTGCTGAAGCCGCAGAGCTGCGCAGTTAACTCTCGTCTGGGTCACGGCCCTGAGCTGTGGGAGCAGGGGCAGCCTCTAGGCTGTGCTTTGACGTACGGTATCGGTGCGTCTAGCAACTCGCAGCTCGTTGGGTGGCACTGTGAAGTAAATGTGAGTCTAACGGCGTCCAACAGATGCGAACCTGCCGGTTCACTAGGAAGTGGTGTTGCGCAGGTATTAACAGTTAGGATACAAAAATGGGAGACAAAAGCAGAAAATCGGATTATTTTAGGCAGGCCCGTTGAACAATGAAATAGGTAGGTGTTAGCACATAGAATTTAACATACAATACCTGCGTGGGACCTTGACTCTCTTAACAACAACAGGGATGCATTTGGTTTTGGAAGAAAATGAGGTGTCGATGACCTTCTGTTTTCTGGCTGTAACTTAAAAATTGTTGTATTGATAGCCAAGGTAATACTCGCCTTAAAAAGAAGCATTTGTATGGGTTAAAGCAGAGTTTAAGTGGCTTTAGTCTACCAAGAATCTATAACTCTGAGTACAAAGCCACGGATGGAAACCCATTTTATTATGTTTGTGCAAAATCCTACCATATTCTTGATTAAAATGGTAAGTTATTTAAGGATGAGTGAGGGAGAACAGAAGCTAGATGTACCTTTATGGGAAATAAAAATCCTGATTTTTCTTCTTATTCTGTTTAGTTCTTGAATTTGAACATGTTTACCTTGAAAATCTGCCGTGTGCTTCGATGTATGAACGCAGTTACATGCACAGAGATGTCATTACACATGTAGTATGTACTAAGTAAGTGTCTTCTTTTTTCTACTGTATCTCATTGTCAGAGACATGGTTTTATATATGCTAGAAAGTTTTCATTGTAGAAATTTCGTAATGGAAAGTAACTGTGTCCAGAGGTGGTATTTCAAGTTTATTTTTTTAAAAACTATGTGAAAAGGGCTTGGTGAGAAGCAAGATAAAAATTCTTTAAATATACTAGAAGAGTGTCTTAAAATTGCAATAAGCAATATATGCAGGAATAAGAGCAACTGACTGAGTTGGAACAAAATATGATTCAGCAGAACTGCACAAATTGAGGAGATAGGGGTTTTTTTTTTTCCTCTTTCTTATATATGTATACACATCTACATTAGTAATTAGTACCTACTGTGAAACCAGACCTAAAACAGGATTAAAATTTACATAAAGGTATAGTATTATGTATTTCTTCAATTCAGGCTGTTGACTTTTCCAAGAGTAATCCAGAGTGTATTAAAATACTTGTTTGCTTTTCTGGGAGTGGCTGATTCAGGCAGATTGTGACACTAATTTCTTTAAAGTTCATTCTCTACACAGCATTAATTATAGTTCAAATTAGTGCCCTAAAGTAGTGTGAAAGCACGTAATATGTCTGTATCTGTTGTTGATGTCTGTTTGTTATTTATCTTTTGTAATTGTAGAACAGATTTTATCATAACAGCCAGTCATGATGGACATGTAAAATTCTGGAAGAAAATAGAAGAAGGAATTGAGTTTGTTAAACACTTCCGGAGTCACCTGGGTGAGAATTTGCTTTTTCTTCTCTAAAGGACCTCACTTTTTCTTCCACCTTGTTCTTAGTCATTTGAAGAGGGAGTAAAATTAAAGAGGAGAGGGGTTCTAGAATTCATTTAGTACAGTCAGGGATTGAATGATATCCATCTATCTTCCTTCGTTCCCCCATCCTGTTATATTTTGATCCCAAACAGCAGGAGGAATAGGGTGAGAACAAAACATGTGGGACTCCTCCTGCACCAGATCCTCTACGTCCTTTGCATTGTCTTGTGCCCCAGCTGTGGGGAGAATTTTAATATAAGTGAACAAGGTACATAAACTTCTCTGGATTTTATGAACCTTGTTAAGAAGATGTTACTTTAAGTAAGGTTACCTTCATTCCTTATATTTTCTTCCCGCCCTCCCCCCGTGCCCCACAGTATGGAGGAAAGATGTTTTTCATCTGGAATTATTACAATTGTAGAGTAAAGTCTGCATCACTGTCATGATTATCAGCTGAATTGCAATAAGAGTTAATAATTTTACCCAATTTTCTGAGTTAGTAAGTACCCATAGCTCTTCTGTACTATGCTAAGCATTAGATAGACTGGACAGAAAATGAGGTTCTCATTGCTGTTAGAAGTGATGATGGAGAAAAACGGATTGATATGCCTACTGTTACAATAAGAAAAATATTTCATAATAGATAGTAAAAGTACTGTTTGTTTTCAGAGTTAGAAAAAAATGTTATAGTGGGTTCTTGATCTTAACTATCAGCTTCTCATTATATACAGAAACAAAATGTGAAAACAAAGGTTACCAAGTAAAAATAAGTATTGTGAAAAACTTATGGAAGGCTGAATTGCAGAGTAATTTTGAGTATTATGTGTGTTAATAGCAGGACTGTAATAGTCTATAGAGTTTTGCTGCTTTTTCTCTTTTGAGACATGCAATCTGAAGAGCACTTTTTTTACCATATAATGTTGTTCTCATTTTTTTAAATCAACATTTTAAATGAAAATAATTGCCATTATAGTCTTTCATTTGTGTACATGGTAAGTAGTTCATTGTCACGTACCTGATTCTAAACAGTGATAGGATAAAAAGTGTTGTTTTGTGGTTTGTTGTTTTTTTAATTAAAGTCAGGTAGTTCTTTAAATCAAAAAGGTGGAGAAACAGCTGAAAAACAGGTTTAAACCTCTGTGGGTTCTTTCCTGTGGAATATTGAAGTGAAGGATGTCCCTTTCTTGTGTTTTTTAATAGGTGTTATTGAGAGCATTGCTGCTAGTTCAGAGGGGGCATTATTCTGTTCAGTTGGCGATGACAAAGCAATGAAGGTGTTTGATGTCGTCAACTTTGATATGATCAACATGCTGAAACTTGGGTAAGTTCTTGAAAATATTTGTTTGGGATTATAAATGGGGGTTATTTTGTGAAAAGGCAAGGCAATAGTTTGTTTTTTTGAGGTGATTTTTTCCCCCCCTGATCTGCAGATGAGTAAGTTGCATTATCCGAAATGTATCCAGTGGCTGGATACTGCCTGACTAAATAGAAAAATTTAGGACTCTGTATGCATGAAGGGAGTGGGCCTGTGCCTTTCCTCAGTGTCAAATGTTATGCACAAAGATGTGATGTTTCTCAAAATACTTAGCTAGGCATAATTTTTTGTTCTGTTGTTTGGTGCTGAATTTAAAAACTATAGCCAACTAATAGTTCTACTAGAGAAGGAATTTGGCCTGTATGTATTGTCTTATTTGTTGTCAAAAGGATAGAAATTTCTGTTTTCTCTTAGAAAAAATGTTGTTGTTTTCCTTAGTCTTCCTGTTGTAGGATTTCCACAGTTACACAGTATGTAGCTAAGGAATCTGGGAGAAATAGGAATGGGCATTATTGGAATTATAACAAAACCAGAGGAAAACAAGCCTCACACTGTTACAAGGGTGCATTCAGAGGGTTGGAGGATCAATGAATGCTGTACTAAGATGGTAGAAATACTGATTTTTCTACAAGCCTTTTAAAATTGGAAAACTTATTCCTTGTAGTCTACTATTTGTTCATTAATTGTGAAACTGAACAGAAGTATAAACTCAAAAAAGGGGGTGAGGCAAAGCAAGCTTTTAACATAAGCTTTTATATATGCGTTGTGATCTGCTTTGCTGGTTATAGTTTTAGTGTCATCCTCCAAACAATGTACTTAGCCTATAGGAATTGGTTTCCTCTTGGCTGTCTGCTGTGGAAAAATTCCAGTTGGCCTTAGTCTTTTGTTTTTGCTGGTCTTTTCTACTTACCAGCCCCGTATTGTCACTACAAAATAGCTAAAATTACAGGATGAAATCAAATCAATTTAATATGAAGAAAATCCTAATTTGATGTTACATTAGAAAGTCTTCTTTTCCTGTTTGAGAATTCAGGGAAAACTGAGGTAGACATTTTTTTTTTTCCAGGGGTACCCTGGGAATGCTACCTATAACATTTCTTTATAATATGTTCCCTGATTTATCCTTAAATAGACTTTTTTCAACCTAAGCAATTAAGACCCTTTTCTCCCCATATATATTTTTGCAGAGATAATTGGGTTTCACCTGAAGTGAACTCTTTAATGAAGATAACTGTGTACAACTGTAACATAAGCATTGTCCTGAATAGCCTTTTAAAACTCAATATTTGTTGCTTTATCTTCTGCATTACTGTTTATTGACCAGATAGCTTCTGTTGACCTGTGTTGTGGTTTCAGCTGCAATGGAGTTAATTTTCTTCACAGAAGCTAGTATATGGCTGTGTTTTGGATTTGGGATGAAAATGAAGTTGATAACATACTGATGCTTTCAGTCATTGCTAAGCAGTCAAGGAGTGTCCAGCTTCTGATGCTGGCCTGCCAGCGAGAAGATTGGGGGTGCATGGGAAGCTGTGAGGGGGGATGGCTGACCCAGGTTGGCCAAAGGGATATTCCATACCATATGATGTCAGGCTCCGCATACAGAGCTGCGCCAATAAAGACGAAGCAGGGGGAAGTTCGGAGTGATGGGCTTTATGCCAAGTAACCATTATGTGTGGTGGAGCCCTGCTTTCCTGGAGATGGCTGACCACCTGCCTGCTGATGGGAAGTGGTGCATGAATTCCTTGTTTTGTTCTGCTTGCGTGCACGGCTTTTGCTTTACCTGTTAAACTGTCTTTATCTCAACCCATGAGTATTCTCACTTTTCCAATTCTCTCCCGCATCCCATACAGGGGAAGTGAGTGGCTCTGTGGGGCTTAGTTGCCGGCTGGGATTAAACCATGACAGCCTGTCTGAGAATTTTTTCATGTCTGTTTGCTCAGGCTGGCAATGGTTAATACAGAATTGTAAGTTCTGTGTGGTCTTTTCAGCTCACAGTATTTTGTGCAGCCTGCTTTGATAGGTATATACAGATATATTGCAGGGTTGATTAACTTTGTCTCAAAATTCTTCAGATCCTTTCAGTTTTAACTAATCTATACATTGTGGCTATCTGCACATCCCCATGCTTTAGGCTTCCATGAATTATCTGGAGAAGGGCAGCTATTTCTGCAGAAGCTTTGGAGAATTATGCATAGATAATAGGACATCATTTATTTATGTATTTATTTAGAATAGAATTACAGAACCATTAAGGTTGGAAAAGACCCTTAAGATCGTCAAGTCAACCATCAACCCAACACCACCATGCCCACTAAACCATGTCTTGAAGTGCCATGTCTACACATTTTTTGAATACTTGCAGTGATGGTGACTTCACTACCTGCCTGGGCAGCCTGTTCCAATGCTTAACCACTCTTTCAGTAAAAAAATTTTTCCTAATAGCCTATCTAAACGTCCCCTAATGCAATTTGAGGCCATTTGATCCTATTTAGTGATCCTATTTTATCCTTTCTAGTGAACCTGAGACAAAGTTCTGGTTATGTTTCTCTTTATAAGAATCTTTATCAGACAGGCATTGAAAATCCAAATTATTAGTGTCTGTCATGTCAGTCTTCCAGTATCTGTTAGATTTGTGAAAAGATATTAAATATAATTTTCCTATGGAGGCTGTGTCATTTCTTTGTGGTCTGTTTAGTTTCTGAGTTCTGGTTCTCAAAATCTTTGCTTACAGACAGACATAACTTATTGTTGACAATATGTCTGGCTTGTTTTATTTGTAGAGTATGTTTTTGCTAGCAGCAAATGAGTTCCTTCTTAAACGCATTCAGAACACTTACTGAATATATTACTAATTGTCTTAATTTTACTTATATCGCTTTTTGTTGTGGTGGTGGGTTTTTTTTTTTTGGCAAGATCAAGTTGAACTTCTATGTAAGTGTATGGCAAAGGTGCAGTTGTCCTAATTTCCACTGAAGTGTTAATCACTTAACAGATGGAAGAGAACTGCTATTAAGTCATAGAAGTTGAGCAGTAATCATTAATGCCACTTGTGCTATTTAACTGGATTACCATCCTTGTTCTTCTTTTATACCCACCTTCTACCTTTGCTTTCTCTCACAGCTTCCATAAAACAATATGGAAGCGACTGACATTGGCAGTGGCATCCACTGAATTGTGTTGCTTGGAAAAGGTTGCTTATAACACTGAATTTTAGCAAGACAAATACTAACAAGACTAGTAAATAAAATTCAAAATTTGATTCTGATATTTGATTTCAAGTTTATAGCATAACTTGATTCTTACCCAAGTAACACAAGTTCTTACTTTTCACTCCCCTCCCCCCTTTTTGTTGCAGCTACTACCCTGGCCAATGTGAATGGGTATATTGCCCTGGAGATGCCATATCTTCTGTTGCAACATCTGAGAAGAGCACAGGAAAAATATTCATCTATGATGGACGAGGAAATAACCAGCCACTTCATGTTTTTGATAAACTCCATACATCCTCTCTTACTCAGATACGGCTGAATCCTGTCTACAAAGTAGTTGTGTCTTCTGACAAATCTGGAATGATTGAGTACTGGACTGGTACTCCTCATGAATATAAGTTTCCCAAGAATGTGGACTGGGAGTATAAAACAGATACTGATCTATATGAATTTGCTAAATGCAAAGCTTACCCATCCAGTATAAGTTTTTCACCTGATGGCAAGAAAATGGCCACTCTTGGGTCTGACAGAAAAGTTAGAATTTTCCGTTTTTTGACGGGCAAGCTCATGAGAGTCTTTGATGAATCTCTGAGTGTGAGTTTGGTTTTGCTTCTCTTTTTGATGCTTTTTCTCTACTTACTTGAATTTATTTACCAGCACATTCACATAAGTTTTTTTATCTGTTTCTAAAGCTAATCTTCCTTGCTATATTTATCTTGCAGAAAGTTTCCTGTGTTCTCTTGCTTGCCTCTTGTATTGCTTTGCCCCAAAATTAATTCTTACTGATTTATGTTAATTACGTAGTGAAACTGAGTTATTGTTGATTTTCATCTGTGTTTTCGTACTGCTAGATTACTTTTTACTAGAAAGCAATTATGGAAGATGCCCATAGGATCACATAACATCATAACAATGAAATAAATCTGTTGTCTAAGAAATTTGTTAGCTACACACTTTTCTTTCTCTGCTTAAGCTTAGCACTACGACATGTCTATTGGGTCATTAAAATAGAAAGTATTACTTGTATTTATTTTAATTCCTCAGTTAAGTTTCAGTGGAGTAGTGTCACTTGAATTCTGTATTTTCTAAGCATGTTGATCAGCGTTTTGCTGGATCACAAGTTTAAAATATGTTCATATAATGGTGGTTTTTTCCTTTCTGTAGATGTTTACTGAACTTCAGCAGATGCGACAGCAACTACCAGACATGGAGTTTGGCAGACGTATGGCAGTTGAGCGTGAGCTGGAAAAAGTGGATGCAGTAAGATTAATTAATATAATTTTTGATGAAACTGGACACTTCGTTCTCTATGGAACAATGTTGGGCATTAAGGTCATAAATGTAGAAACTAACAGGTAAGTTCCAATGACATACACTAAGATAAATATGTTTGTTTCAAATTCTATATTCAGTCAAATTTATAGTATATTTAAAACTTGGGGGGGAGGGGTGTCTAATCTTTTGTTGTTGTTGTTTGGGAGTGTTACATTAGACTGTAGGTAAGATACTCCCATGCTTTGTAGTGAGTTGTTGCAGTTTAAAGCTTAGTAAAATAAAGAGAGAACATGGCAAGTATATTTGTATTAAAAATGTGTAATCAGTTCATCTCTGGCTAACTGGATGTGGTAACAAAGTAAATGTGGATCATGCAGTTGGGATTTTATCACTTAAGGAAGCTGACGAGTAAATTATGTTGCAAGTTTGAATAGAGAAGCATCATAAAAAAACCCTAAGTATGTATTTTGAGAGGGTTTTGGAATTTTGCTTTGAGTCTTCCAGTCAGAAACAAGACATTCTCTTGCTGTGAGCAGCTAACAGTAGTTACACCTTTTTACATTTTGTGCTTCAGATGTATTCGTATCTTGGGAAAACAAGAGAACATCAGAATGATGCAACTAGCTTTGTTCCAAGGAGTAGCAAAGAAGCATCGTGCTGCAATCACTATAGAGATGAAGGCATCTGAAAATCCTGTTCTCCAGAATATCCAGGCAGATCCAACAGTAATCTGCACAGCTTTTAAAAAAAATAGGTTTTACATGGTATGTGTGGTTTCTATTTAAATGACTCCATTATTGCACTGATGTTTGCTCTGCATTGTTTTTTTATTTTTCTCCTTTCTCTTTCCAGTGCTTTTTGTCTTGAGTATTTGTGAACATGACTTTTCTAGAGGAGTCCTTTTATATTGCAAGTATATTCTAGAATTTTTGGCTAGAAACAGCTTTAATTTTTTCATTATTGCTCAAGCAGTTAAAGAAACTTGGATGGTTGCGGCTGTCTAAATTGTAGTTCTCAGAGAATATTAGACACTTTTTTCCTAGTTGGAAAAAAAACCCACGTTCAATAAGAAACTTTGGAAAACCTAACCAGATCTTATATTTATAAAGAAACAATTAACTGTATGTCCAAAAAAAAAGTAATAAAAAAAAATTAAATTCAGAGCAGCATCAGGACTTAGTAGCACAAAGGATACTATGGGCAACTAAGACATGAGTCATCTTCCTGTTCACAACTGATACTTTAGGTGAGATGCAATGAATAAGCCAAATAGACAAGTAATTCCAGGGTAGTTAGTAGTTGATCTGGGTTGTGATCACCATAGAGGTTAGAGATCGATCTGTCTGTTGTTACTTGTGCTTGAATGTGACTGTTTTCTGTTGGAGCAAGATAGTAAACTTTCTAAAGCTTTGTGTGGTCAGTGTGTAGTATATAATGGAATATACTCCTCTGAGCAATTTGACAAATGAGGAGGAAAAATTAGACAAAATCTGGAAACATTATTTAGAAAACATGATTGTACACATGCAGAAGGAGTAGTGATTGTCATTTGGTATGTAAATGTACTACTCACTTAAGCGAATAATCATGTACTCATATATTCTGTGTTTTTCTGTAAGTGCTATAAAAATAACATTTCTGAGATTTCTCCTGCATAGAGTTAAACTTGCTGTTTTTCTATAGTTTTTTTTATTAATGCAATATTGGAATAAGAGGATTTAGTTTGACTTTGTAGTGAAACAAAGTCATGTGATAAAACCTGCCAGTTTTGCCTGAATATTATGGAACAACTTAAAATTCTCTACTCTTAAAAAAAAAAAGCTACACTACTGTGGGCTTTCCGTTGAAAAGGGGAGGAAGCTTAAAGACAGTTAACATATTATAAAAGGTACTTCAATTTGCCTGTAGTTGTACTGGAATTTGTGACTGTAGAAATGGTGGTAGTACACAACACTGAATGCAAGAATAGACTGTCTATGAATGCTCTTCCTACATTTCAAGTCTAGTTGAAAAAAAAAATGATAGTGATGTCTTGGGTGCAGAGCAGTGTGGAAAATAAGGGAAAAAAGAGAAAACCAAGCAGTTAACCTTCTGTTCTTTTGTTCTTCAGTTTACTAAACGTGAACCAGAAGATACAAAGAGTGCAGATTCTGACAGAGATGTATTCAATGAGAAGCCTTCTAAAGAAGAGGTCATGGCAGCCACTCAGGCAGAAGGTCCCAAAAGAGTTTCAGACAGTGCCATCATCCACACAAGCATGGGAGATATTCATATCAAGCTTTTTCCTGTTGAGTATGTATTACTCTGTTTTTCCTTTCTTTTGTGCTTTTTGGTGGCAGTGTCAAAGACTTGTATTTCAAGCTAGGAATAATTCTTCCCCTTTTCCTACTGTCTTTGTTTCATGTCAGTTTCTTAATACATCAAGCTAGGAATGTGACTCTTGGCAAACACAAATGAAGTAGGGTAAAAATAGGCCTAAATAACAGTTAGGGGCACAGGGGCTTTTTTAATGATTTTTGCTTTTATTTAAATATTGGTTCAGGGTATTTGTTCCTTTCTTAACTTTTGTTCCTTCTCCTAAACCACAAATGTGGATAGGTCATGATGCTCCTCTGTAAGCTGCATATTATTTTAAGGCAGTGCTGTTTGATTCCATCTTGAAAGATGTTGGTAGCAGCCGTAGATTTGGTGGTAGGTCTGTGTAATCCATAGGAATAGTAGTTTGCAACTTCTACATGTGGTTGTTGTACTACGTTTTATGTTATTGCAGCTCCTTCAGACCAACATAAAATTTATACCAGCACATAGTATTAGTGCTTTGTGATTCTGCCCCTCTGTGATGCTCTGGTGAGACCCCACCTGGAGCTCTCCATGCACCTCTGGAGCCCACAGCACAGGAAAGATATGGACCTCTTGGAGTGGGTCCAGAGGACGCCACAGAAATGATCAGACGGATAAAACGGCTCCCCTGTGAGGACAGGCTGAGAGAATTGGGGTTGTTCAGCCTGGAGAAGAGAAGGCTCTGGGGAGACCTTATTGCAGCCTGCCAATACTTAACGGGGGCCTATAAGAAAGATGGGGACAGACTTTTTAGCAGGGCCTGTAGTGATAGCACAAGGAGTAATGGTTTGAAACTAAAAGAGGGTAGATTTAGACTAGATTTAAGGAAGACATTTTTCACAATGAGGGTGGTGAACCACTGGCACAGGTATATGATTGAAAAAGTTTTATACATAGCAATTGCTAAAGTTATTATGTCAGCATCTCTCCTTTATGATGCTAATATATGCAAAGATTTTGTTATGAAACAGTAAATTTGTATAACATATTGCTGTACGTATGTTGTAGTTTAACCCCAGCCAGCAACTACGGCCCACACAGCCACTTGCTCTCCCTCACAGCAGGATTGGGGAGAGAATCAGAAGAGTAAAAGTGAGGGGACTTGTGGGTTGAGATAAAGACAGTTTAACAGGTAAAGCAAAAGCCGCGCACACAAGCAAAGCAAGACAAGGAATTCATTTACTACTTCCCATCAGGCAGGTGGTCAGCCATCTCCAGGAACGCAGGGCTCCATCACACCTAACAGTTACTTGGGAAGAAAAACACCATAACTCTGAGCATCCCCTGCTCTGTTCCTCTTCCCTCAGCTTTGTATGCAGAGCCTGACCGTCATATGGTATGGAATATCCCTTGTGTCAGCTGTCCTGGCTGTGTCCTTTCCCAGCTTCCTGTGCCCCCCCAGCCTTCTTGCTGGTTGGGTGGTGTGAGAAACAGAAAAGGCCTTGACTCGGTGTAAGCACTGCTCAGCAGTAACGAAAACATCCCTGTGTTATCAACACTACCTTCCTGTGTAATCATGCAAATTCATATACCTTTCAAGTGTTTTTGCTTCCAGTTCTCGGTTTGAGGTGAGGATTTGGTTTTTTTCCCTTATCTGATGAAATCTCTTTCTACAGTGTGTTGAAACACTTCACAGTACAACAGGATCTTAGTCTCAGCTGAAACGTTTATGACCTTGCACCATACAATTAAATACTTGTTGTAGCCTGTATCTTTTGTTACATGATTTTAGGTGCCCCAAAACAGTGGAAAACTTCTGTGTGCACAGCAGAAATGGTTATTACAATGGACACATATTTCACCGTATCATCAAGGTAACTTGTAAAAAGTTAATTTTTTTGTTTTGTTTAGATAACATAAACTAACCTTTGTGGTTAGTCCTCCCTATTAACCTTTTTATTTACCTTTTGCACAAAGGATTTTTGGAATGGCTTCAGATTTCCCTGTAAAGCCTGAATGACTCTGAGGTTCTGAACAGCTTTTAAACAACCTCAGGAAGTGATATAGTTGTTCTGTAACTGACAAGGTTGAAGAAATCTGAAAAGTGAGAGAAAGATCAATTCAACAATCTTTCTTGAATTAACACTTTGTTTCATGTCAGAAGGCATTTCTTGTAAGGCTTCTTATTTCTGTTTCACCAAAATGAAGCTGACACAGCTTAAGTGTTTGCAGAACATACAGGTAGTCATGTTTCTGTCCTTCACTAGTAGGAACAGTGAGGAAGCTTGTTTTTTCACAAGTACTTGATTATCACTTAAAGCCCTGAATGCTTTGCCCTTTATCCACAGCATTTTAATACGTTTTTGAAAGGTTTGGAGTCAGTTTGAAAAAACCTGGCATAAAACACTTTCTTATTTTATGTGATGATGTAATAGCATTTAATTTCTGTGCAGGGTTTCATGATTCAGACTGGTGACCCAACTGGTACAGGAATGGGAGGTGAAAGTATTTGGGGAGGAGAATTTGAAGATGAGTTTCACTCAACTTTACGACATGACAGACCATACACACTCAGCATGGCTAATGCGGGACCAAATACCAATGGATCCCAGTTTTTTATAACAGTAGTGCCAACTGTAAGTAATATTAAAAGCTCAATTTAAGGCCTGAGAACTAGATAGTAAAAATATCCTATTTTTTTTTTCCTGAAGGAGAAAGGAACACACTAGTACTACCTCAATATTGTTTTCATATTTTGTAAATAAATGCTGCACACAACAATGTATACTGTATAGGTTTCACTGAAAGTATCCTTGATGAAATAAGAAAGTATTTTTGTAAGTTGTGATCAAGAGGCCTTTTGCCTTTAATTGGAGTATGGGCACTATCAAATTCTTCGTAAAACAGACATTTTTGTAATTGTGTATTACTAGAGTATTTTATATTAATATACTGGTTTAGACTTGATGGAAATCTAGCTATTGCTTAGATTGTTTGAAGTTTTTTGGATATAGTGCCAGGCTGACTCCTTAATACTGCCTAATTATAGCTATACAAAGAAGCAAATACTCAGGTTTGAAGTTGTCCTTTGATCTGTGTACAATTTCAGAGCCAAAAAAATAAATTTTGTTATGTGAATCTGAGATACAAAACCAATCCTTAAAGGTAACACTTACAGAAACTGCACTCTTATGGCACTTATTTCAAAATTGTATGTTGTTTTTTTAAAAAAAAGCACCCATCTGTTATAATTTTGAGGCTTACTAAGTTGTATCAGTGCCTATGTTCAGATTGCTAATTGGGCATACTGTATGAATATGACAGAATTAAGTAGTATTCTGAACTGGCACTAACAATTCAGCTGTGAGAATACCATGAAATAGAGAGACTGAAACAGCTGTTTTCTGTGAACTGAGAATACACTTTAAAATAAACATGAAATGCTACTGCATTGATGCAACTTGACCTCTGTAGTACTTGAAAACAATTGTAAAGGAGAGTTTAAATGCCTATGAATATGTATTAGCTGCACTGTAATATTTATTTACATGGTATTAAGTTTCATAGCCTGAACATATAAAATGTATCCATGTTCACTCATTCTAGATCAGTCTCTTTCTGGCTTGGTGCCTAACCTACATGCTGCTTTCTATTTTAATATGCTTTTTCTTTCTCCTCCTCTGCCCTCAAACAGCCATGGCTAGACAACAAGCACAGCGTGTTCGGACGAGTGACTAAAGGAATGGAAGTTGTTCAGAGAATCTCAAATGTAAAAGTCAATCCCAAAACTGACAAACCCTATGAGGATATCAGCATCATTAATATCACAGTGAAGTAAGCTAGGAGTTGAAGGTTCCAGTTTATGCAGAAAAAACTCGGCACGGTGGGACCCAAAAAGGCACCTAGAAAGAACAGAAACACTTCTGGTAATTCCTTGATACAAGAAGTGAGGACAAAGCAATCACCAGTTCTACTATTTTTAATGTACCTGAACCTATTTCTGTATTTCTGGTAACTTTGTATTTTGAAGTAAACACATCTGGATGTTTCTTACACCATCTGCTGTTTTTCTTGCACATCTTCTATGCAAAACTGAACATGTCTAATGATCCAATATGTAGCTTGTAACTTCATGTTTATTTGCATCTTCCCTATGTAATTAATCCTTTTCACAGTACTAAAATCTTTGGCAAAGGTTAGAAATCCTAAGATGAGTATATTCTTCAGGTACAGGACCCTGTACTTGGCCTTGTTGAACATC